CTGGCCTCAAATTCAGAAAATCCAAATGCCTCTGCCTCCTGAGTGCTGTGGTTAAAGATATTCACTGCTGCCAATCAGGTAAAGGTGACTCTTATTAATTCATATTATCCATATTAAAAATACATTTTTAATTTCAAAATCTTCAAGAAAAATCCTTCACAGGTGACCCAACTGTTTGGGTTTTAGTTAATTCCAAAGGTAAGTTTGACTACCAACAATGGTCATCCCAACAGCCAAGACAGAAGAAAGGAGAAAGAACTCTTACCTTCAGGAAGCAAGGAGGGTATGGGCGATATTTCAAAAACTACTCTTTTCCTAAGCAAAGGAAGCACGAGAATTTTACTTAATGAGCCTAGACACATCCATGCAGGTTTCTTCCTATTCCTAAGTATGCTCAATTATCAAATTTACTTCTGAACATGATCATAATGTAGAATGAAAGACATTTAGGGATATTATTACCTCAAAGTAATGCTGGGACATATATAAATCAAAAAACGATAGAAATAATGGCAAGTTCATTTTGAACCACAATATCTTAGATGAAAATAAATTATATGACAAAATGTTTTAGATCATAGGCTACCGATCAATCTTGATGGGTGATCTAAAAATTAACTGTATCAATGACACAATAGATGACAAAAATGCAGAAAACTTCAGGGAAAAGTCAGGTAACAGCACTTTGTACTATGCTCTTAGATTAATGATTGTGATGATCTCTGTTAACCTCAGAACAAAGCTGCTTTTGCCTCTGAGCAGGCTGACTCGGGAGAACATCACAGCTGCTTCCATGCAACACCATAAGGAGTTCATTGTAACTGGACCTGGCTGCTCTCTGTCTCGGGGCTGTCACACCCCTGTAGACAATTCCATTCCTTTTGTTTTCTAACTTGTTAAAAATTTAATTATAATGGGTGTTTTCCCCACATCTGTCTGTGCACAGTACTTACAGAGGTGAGAAGAAGGCAGGAGATGCCTGGGACTGGAGTTACAGCAAATGGTTAACTGGCATGCATTCTGGAAATGGAACCCGGGTCCTCTGTAACAACACCAAGTGCTCTGAATTGCTGAGCCTTCTCTCTAGTGAATCTTTTTATTTAAAAGTTATTTCTGCAAATTGATAACCAGAATGTATTACATCAATTTCTGCTTTTATCTTTTTATTCCATCCCTTCCCAAATCTCTTCCAACTGCTTCCTTGGTATGCGTGGGTGAAGAAGTAGACTGAAATACATGGACATGACCAGTTACATGTTGTTTTCTTTTTTCTTTTTGTTTTTGTTTTCCCCAAGACAGGTTTTCTCTGTAGTTTTGGAGGCTGTGCTGGAACTCGCTCTGTAGACCAGGCTGGCCTCGAACTCACAGAGATCCACCTGCCTCTGCCTCCCCAGTGCTGGGATTAAATGCAAGCACGCGCATGCTGACGCCTGGCTCAGCTCCATCATTTTTTGTGTGTTGTACATTTTTGGATGATCGCCTTACCGTGTTTCATTGTGTAAACAGTTATGGAGCTCATCGCTGCCTGACGCTCATTCTCTTCAATGGAGCAGAATTCTCCTTTCTAATCAGCATCTGGTGCCTGACCCTGACCAGGCTGCCTTGGACAGGAAACATAACCAATAATAGAAAACATGCCAGGCGGTGGTGGCGCACATGTTTAATCAGGCACATGGGAGTCACAGGCAGGCAGATCTCTATGAGCTCGAGGCCAGCCTGGTCTACAGAATGAGTTGTGGGATGGCCAGAGCTGTTACACAGAGAAACCGTGTCTCGGAAAATCAAACAAAGAAACAAATAAAAAGTAGAAAACTGCGTGTAACTCAGGTGTCTAGAGAAGCTCACTTCTGCATGTAACTCCCGTGTCGGGGGCTCTGACACACATACAGCTTCCATTCTTCGTGTACAGAGAAGCTCACTGCTGCGTGTAACTCACATCATTCATCATATGTAAAGAAGCTCACTGCTGCGTGTAACTCACGTCAGTCAGCCTGTGTAAAGAAGCTCACTGCTGCGTGTAACTCACGTGACAGGGTCTCTGACATCGTCTCCTGGACTCCCCGGCCATGATAAGAAACACAGACACACGTACATGCATACACACATACATGCTTACATACATACTCATGCTACATAATCTATACATAGCTAGACATGCACACATACATGCTTACATACATACACACAGTACATAGCCTACACACAGTCAGATACACATTCATACTTTCTTAAATACGTACACATGCTATATAATCTACACACAGTCAGACATGCATACATACATACATACACACATATTTACCATGTGTGCTGTGTGTGAATCATGCATGTGTGTCTGCAGACGTGTGTGCATGTAATCACGAATGACATGGGCCTCCCTGCCATGTGTGAATCATGCCGTGTATGCTGTGTGTGAATCACGTGTACGTGTGCAGATGTCTGTGTGTGTGATAATAAAAATAATAGCAAAAACAATAAGACAAACAATAAAAATAATAAAAACACAAATGATACAAATAAAAACAATAATAATAAAATGACAATAATGCAAATAATAAAATAGTAATTAAATAATAATCATAATAAAATAATAATACCACAAATAATAAAATAATAACCAAAATGATGCAATAATAATAATAATAATGAATAACAAAGCAATAATAACAATCAGCAAAAAAATAATTAATAATAATAACGAATAACAATTAAAACAATAACAGATAATAACAAAAACATTAAGTAAAAACATTAACAATAATTAATAATAACAATAATAATGAAATAATAATAACGAATATCAATAATTATTGGTAAAAACATTAACAATAATTAATAATAACAACTATAATGAAATAAAATAATCAATAATAATAATGAATAACAATAATAAGAATTAATAACACTAGTAACACTAATAACAGTAGTGGTTGTACTCTGTAGATGGAGCTGGGGGAGCAGCTGGGGATGAATGAACGAATGACCTGGGGTGAATTAGTGAAGCTGAAGTGAGGCCAGGCTCTGCCTCCCCGGCCCCGCCCCATAACCCCGCCCCTGTGCCTTTGGTCGCCTCCCTGTGACTCCGCCCCCTATAAATGCTTCCTGCCTCCTGTGTCCGTGGCCCCGCCCCACAGCCCTGGACTCCTCCCCTCTGTCTCTGGCCCCTCCCTTAAAGGCTCTGTGACTCCTCCCCCTGCATCTCTGGACTCTCCCCGCGTTTTCCTCTGTGGATTCTCGTGGGGCATGGCCCGGGTGGGGTCACTGGGGTCCCATGGCGGGGGCGGGGCCGGCACGGCGAGTACAGGGACCACAAACAACCAGATAGTGGCAGCTAGAGCAGTAATAATAATAACAGTGACGAAAACAACGATGGCCATGGCGACAGCGGTAAGAACAGCCATGACTTCATCGCCGCTGTCACCTGACGTCACCACGCCCCACAGTCACCTGACCCCCACCCCAACACAGCCCGCTTCCTGTCCGACCCTGCCCCATTCCCTGTCAAGAGGAAGTGACGGAGCATGGGGGGGGGAAACAATTGCTGCTCATTTGCATATTCATGAGGGGAACCGGGTCTGCAGTTTTATTTGCCTCTGCCTCGGTCTGTGGTCCCGGGAGTCCCGCCCACTTTCCTTTGAAGGACAGGAGACTCTCTGCGGGTGATGGACAGGAAGCAGGGAGATCACACAAAAGTCCCTCCCCTCCGAGGCTGATTGACGGGCGCAGCCAATCACCAGGAAACCCAAGGCTCTCAGGGATTCCCGCCTCAGTTTCTGGTCCCGGAAGTCCCGCCCTCGCCCCTTTGACGGACAGGGGAGACTCAGAAGTCCCTCCCTCTTTCCCTCTGATTGACATGAGCCTCCGGGAAGTCCCTCTCTGACCCCCAGAGCCCCGCCCCTCTTGGCCGGCCCCCAGCCCCGCAGGAAGTGGCGTAACCCACAATAGTGTAAATGGGGCGGGCGCGGCACCAAGGACGCGGGAGCCGAGCCTGCTGAGGGGCGGGGTCTCGGGGCGCGGGGCGGGGCCTCGGAGACAAAGGGAGGAGCTCGGAGGCGAGGACCTGGGCCTTGGGAGGAGAGTGGGCGTGGCCTCAGGGCCGGGTGGGACTGGGCGGCCGGGACTCCAGCGTGACCCCTCAGGGGGCGTGGCCAACTCCTAAGGTCTGCTTCCTGGCAGCTACCTGAGGCCGCGGTGGGCGGAGCCTGAGGCGGCGGTGGGCGGAGCCCGCTGGGTGGCGAGATGACGTCACACGCCAGCGGTGATTGACGACTGCAGGGCCAAGATCGGGGCTTTCACGGAAGACGGCGCGGCCGTCTGCGGGAGGGGGCGGGGCTCCAGCGGTGACGTCACCCTGTGTCCCACCCTCTGTGGGCGGAGCCGGCAGTGATTGACGTGGTGGGGGCGGGAACATGAGAGTTTGTGGCTCCTTCCAGGTGGCGTGTGGGCTGGGCAGGGCGGTGATGTCACCTCTATACACGTCCCCGCCCCCGTGGGCGGAGCCTGGGTTGAATGACGTATTCCCTATGGGAGGTGGCTGCCAGGTGTCAATCAAGGTTCCTGGTGATGTCACCAGCAACGGCTCCTTAGGCCCCGCCCCCGCTCGGGCCAGTGTGGGTGAGCGGGGTCGCCGCGGGGTCACGAGGGTCATGGGGTCACTCACTTCCCGTCTGTGTCACGTGACCAACACCAGCGTCTTCCTGGCTGGGCGCCACGCCTGCCCGGAAAATGTTCCCCAGTTGGGTGCTGACCCCTGACAGCTCGGTAACCTATGACGTCACAGGCATGGGCGGGGCTCGGAACCGTAGGCAGCGGGTGAGGGGTTGGGGCGGGGTCAAGGTAGGGGCGGAGTCAGTCGGTGAGTTGGGCGGAGCCTTGGCAGAACTGCTGGGCCAGCTGGGAGAGGTGGGGCCTCAGAGACAGGGTGTGGGTCAGGGGCGGGGCTGGGATATGCAGAGGGGTGTGGCCTAGTAGAGGGCGGGGCTCCGCAGAGGAGTGGGCAGTGAGATAGTGGGCGTGGCACTGAGCATGGGCGTGGCTCACTTGGCCCCCTCTGCCCTGTCACTTCCCCACTGCTCTGACCCTTCTTAGCCTTCCCCACCCCGCCCCTTCTTGCCCTGCCCCGCCCCGCACATGTCCTGACCCCGCCCACTGCGGGCAGAGTGCAATGGCAGACACGGGCTTCCTGTGGGTTCCAGATCAGCGAGGTGGGCGGGGCGGGGCGTGGTCACTGCTCAGGGCTCCCTGCTGACCGCTCCCCACGCCCTTCCCAGGGCCCTCAGAGCCAGAGACCTAGTGTGAGTAGAGTCCCGGATGTGGGTGTGGCAAACGACAAAACACTCGGTGACGTCACCGGCCCCGCCCCGCAGACCTTCGAGAGCCAATCCCGGGTTCGAATCCCGGGCTCTGTCACCCACTGCAGCCCCTGGAGTGAGGCCGGGTGTTGGTGAGGTGCGGCCCCGCCCATGTGCTGTCACACCAGCCCCAGCCACGCCCCTGTGGCGTCACCCCAGTCCAGGCACCACCCCAAACGCTCATGAGCTTCCCCATGAGGACCATGGAAGGGTTTAGGGGTCACTTCCGCTTGGGGGCGTGGCTTCCGGGTGACTTCCGCTTTCCTAGTGTGTTGGGGTCACTTCCGGGAACCTAAGGACATGTTCCGGGCACTTCTGCGTGGGTGACAGAGTTTTGGGGGGAAATTTCCCCTCACTTCCGCTTCAGGGAGGGGTCTCTGCGGTCACTTCCGGTCTTCGCCAGGGGCGTGGTCTCCCTGTCCATGACCATTCCCTGTCCCGCCCCCTGCTGGACAGGGGGTGGAGCCAGGTGACAGTGGCCGTGGGGGCGGCGCTGTCGGCGCTGGTGACCCTGCTGCTGTTCTGCCGGAGGTGACGTCACGGGTGGGGCCCATGTGCAGCCACGCCCCTTCCCCTGGGTTTCTTCCCCTGCTGGGCAGAATGGGCAGATTTGCATATGCAAATGAGCACTGTCAGGGTGCGGGTTTAGATATGCAAAACCCACACCAAGTGCCCGCCCCTCGTTGGGAGGAGACATGCAAATTAGACCCTGTGACGCGCATGCAAATGTATGCAAATCGACTTTGGGGCAAAAAGCAATGACTCCCCGCCCCTCCTGACCGAGTCCCCGCCCCTCCTGACCGAGTCTCCGCCCCTCCTGACTGAGCCCCTGCCCCTCCTGACCGAGTCCCCGCCCCTCCTGACCGAGTCCCCGCCCCTCTTGACCGAGTCCCCGCCCCTCCTGACAGAGTCCCCGCCCCTCCTGACCGAGTCCCCGCCCCTCCTGACAGAGTCCCCGCCCCTCCTGACCGAGTCCCCCCCACTGATGCTGGCCCCGCCCTCAGGTATCTGCTCCCGCCCATCCCAAACCTCAAGGACCCCATGGGGGAGAAGGCAGAGCCCTCGGAGCTAATGAGGGTGGGGCCGGGTGAGGGCGGGGTCTTGTTAGGGCGGGCCTTGGGATGAGGGCATGGCTAGAGGAGAGGGCAGGAGCTGGTATGGGGGAAGACTGAGGGCGTGGCCTACAGGGGCGGGTTCACTGGAATTGAAGCAGGTGGTGCCTGGAACAGTGGGCGTGGCTTCAGTGGGCGGGACTTCCAAGGCCCCATCAAGGGGCAGGACCAGAGCTTCCAACCGTGGTGGGTGGCTCTGGCTGGGTGTGGCTCCTGTGGGCGTGGCCCGTTAGTCCCGCCCTCTCCCTTCCCCAGGTGTCCGAGGAATGTGATGGAGGCCTGAGCTGTCAATCACCCATAAAGGTAGGGTTGGTGGAGTCCCCGCCCCCTCCGCCACAGACCAGTTACTCTGCTTTCAGTTACTCGGGGCCCCGCCCCCTGTCATTCACAGACTGGAAGTGGGGCTGTCAGTCACCTTGGGCCCCGCCCCTGTCATTCACAAATGAAAAGTGGGGCTGTCAGTCACCCGGGGCCCCGCCTCTGCCAGTCACTCACAGGAAGTAGATGCTTAGTCTTCATTGATTGACACCTGGGGTCATGGGGTCAGGGCCCCCTGGACCAGGACGGACGTCGGGGTCAGGAGGTCAAACGTCCACAGCTCCCAGGATCCCCGGGGTCTGGAGGGAGTTGGGGCCTGGCGAGGGGGCGGGGTTTAGAGGCTGACTGACAGGCAGGGTGATTGATGTGATCCACAGTAGGCGGGGCGGGGCCAGGGCTTGACTGACGGCCGGCGGGGCGGGACTCAGGGGGAGACTGACGGCAGGGGCGGGGCCGGCGTCACTTCCGGGAAGAGGGGCAAAAGCGGCTCGGGAAACCCTGGGTGGGGTGGGCGGGGTCTGAGCTGCATGCACTCATCTGGCTCCAGGCCGCTTCCTTCCCTGCTGGGAGTGGCAGGCGGGGTTTCCCACCCCGCCTTCTGGATCCACTGCAGCATGGCGGCTTCACGTGCATGAGGTGAGTTCCTCAGTCATTCATTCATTCCTTCATTCTCACTCACGAGCATGAGGCGAGTTCCTCAGTGATTCATTCATTCCTTCATTCATTCTCACTCATGTGCATGAGGCGAGTTCCTCAGTCATTCATTCATTCCTTCATTCTCACTCATGTGCATGAGGCATGTTCCCTCAGTCATTCATTCATTCATTCAGTCGCTCATTCATTTTCTCTCACTCACGTGCATGAGGCGAGTTCCTCAGTCATTCATTCATTCATTCTCACTCACGTGCATGAGGCGAGTTCCTCAGTCATTCATTCATTCAGTCCTTCATTCATTCTCACTCACGTGCATGAGGCGAGTTCCTCAGTCATTCATTCAGTCATTCATTCATTCTCACTCACGTGCATGAGGCGAGATCCTCAGTCATTCATTCATTCAGTCCTTCATTCATTCTCACTCATGTGCATGAGGCGAGTTCCTCAGTCATTCATTCAGTCATTCATTCATTCATTCTCACTCATGAGCATGAGGCGAGTTCCTCATTCATTCAAGTCATTCATTCTCACTCATGTGCATGAGGCGAGTTCCTCAGTCATTCATTCATTCCTTCATTCTCACTCATGTGCATGGGGGGGAGTTCCTCAGTCATTCATTCCTTCATTCCTTCATTCATTCTCACGTGCATGAGGCGAGTTCCTCAGTCATTCATTCATTCTCACTTATGTGCATGAGGCGAGTTCCTCAGTCATTCATTCATTCTCACTCATGTGCATGAGGCGAGTTCCTCAGTCATTCATTCATTTATTCATTCATTCTCACTCACGTGCATGAGGCGAGATCCTCAGCCATTCATTGATTCATTCTCACTCATGTGCATGAGGCGTGTTCCTCAGTCATTCATTTATTCATTCATTCATTCATTCTCACTCACGTGCATGAGGCGAATTCCTGTCTTACCTTCCCTACCTCAGCCCTTCTTATTCTCCGTCCTCGCCACT